TCTGAAAGTCGACAAGGTCCATTTACTCTTGCTCATTCAGGGACAAAGCTAAAATAGGCTGTACAACAGCGCCTCTAGTACTTGTTTGTTTGTTAATTTCTCCATAGACACTTGCCTTAATTAGGAATGTAATTATTGGGATAGTGGAGTAGTGTTTCTTTATACATGTTTTTATGTTTTATATTTTATGTCTTTATGTTTGTTTTCATCTCCCCTTTATATCCACTGGTCACATGTATGTCACGAATAATATTAGTGAAATTATCAATCACCGCCATAATTCCTTGATCACGCTTCCGTCGTTCTCGTCTAACGCCAGCTACCTTAATTAATTCAAATTTATCAACGTCATGATAATATCGCCTGTATTTCTTTCAAATACTCACGATTTGAAAGCATAATTTCAACACATATTAAAGTCTTTAAAGTATAAGGTATACCTCGCTACGCCTACCGACTAAATTAGATCGACAAAGGGGAAGGGTAAAGTCGCTTACCTAACTTAAATTTTCAACCTAATATTGATACAAGTAAACCTTAATCTCAGTTTTATTTCGTGCACTGTATTAATAATGAAAAAAAGACGGGCAACTTCGTACGTGGATGAGCCACTGTTAAAGGTGAAAAGTTGAGAAAATATTAGAGGGAACATTTAATCTATATCTGTAAGGTTAGATATATTCTGAGCTAAATTTAATTTATAGTATTACTTTGTCAACAATATCTATGTCATATTACACATTTTCTTCAATAATATTTGTTTTATATTGTACCTATTTTCCCGTTTTTCCTCAGTTTTTTTCCTATTTATTAGGAAAACTCCTGAGAAAATTAAAAAACAATTCCCTTAAAATACTTTCCTAGTTAGATTTTCTTTTAGAAAAAGTACTATCATTGTAAATCAAAGCAAAATATCTAGTAAAAAGTTGTTCATAAGAAAAAAAAATTTAAAAAAAAAAACATCTTTGTAAAACTATAGTTTCTTCACTCTATTCAGTATCTAAAACAAGTTCACAGTTTGATCTGAATAATGATTTTCACACGCAATTCACAAATATTTTTCAAAAAATAATTAACCGAACCACGCTTAGAATTAATTTTGGTTAGCCTTGGTGGATTTTAGAGGGACAAAAATTGTAATAGGAAAATATTTAGAAGGGTAATGCGGTACTTATTGATGTACACCATGTTGACCAGTTTTAAATATTTGTGTTTAATACAAATCTAAGCAACTATATTACGTTGTTTATTTCATAATGTATTTTGTCGTTACGTAGTCCCTAAACGATTATTAGTTGAAATGTTAACTTTTTATATTTTCTTAACAGAGTTTACCGTTCAATACGAAATAGATATCGAGTACGTTCGTGATTATTATTATACAACTGGCGATAACTAAAGAAACAGAAGCTAATTATTATACTGTTCGAATAAATCAATACAGAACTTATCGAAGACGTATAATACTTAAGAAGTACAGAAAATACCAAGCAATTAAAAAAAGTATAGATTAATTCTACTATTCACTGTGCAAGGGTAAGTATAAAACTATCTATTCTAATAAACTGGAGAGAGATTCTTAACCTAACCTAACCTAACCCTACGTATATAAAATTTTTAAAGATATAATTTTGTTTTCGATTATCTATCTATTAAGGAATTTTAAGTGAGTACAATCATTATCTCGGATTGTATTAACTTTTTTTGAAATTCGTTTTATAGAATATTTAAGAAACAAGCAGCTCTACTTAATATCTATTTTATTTTTTTTCACCTTTATTTTTGAGGATAAAACCACTGTCTACATCTGATTTTCAAATAGCAACCTACGTTTAAAAATCCATAAATTAATAGAATATTGAAATAAATAATCAAGTTACAAATTTCCGAGATAATGAGTGTAGCCCCAAAAATAGATCACCTGGATAAACCGTGGTCTTGATAAACATTTTTTCTAATAATCTTACAAATATAATGAATCTAGAATACTACAGAAATCATCTGTCAAGTAAAGTTATGCACTTTACCTATTTATTTGGGTATATGTGTACTTCGTGACCGGATTATCGTCTTAATAATCATTCATTCTTAAAACTAATCATATATATTGCATTTAAATTATAACACCGATAAAGGTCTTATGTTAGGTACCTACTGTTCCTTTTTATTTTGCTACTAATGTACTTTTTGCAAGGTTGTTAATATTGACAAACACATTTACCAATAACTCTATTGATAAAATTGTTTGCACTAAACTTTCTACATAATTGGCGGTTTAAGTATAGTGACCTACTATACCTATTATAAAGGAACATAAGTACTTCTTGAACAGATTTTGGTCATGACAAAAACTTCTTCTAATAAATTTACCAATTATTTACACCCACTTTTCTTTATATTTTTGGATCAAGTAACATTACGTACTGTACCTATTTATTTGTGTACATGTGTACTTCGTGACCGGTTTATCGTCTTGACCATCATTCATTCGAATAACTAAAGAATGGATTCATATGTTTTTATATATCGTTACTGAGCTTATGCAGTCTTATGCAGTCTAATGTTGACGTTTCGTTCAATTCCGAGTTTGTAGAAAAAAGTTCTTTTTGCATATTTGAAAATATTTCATAGGTTAAGGAATATTTTGCTTATTTTGCATATTTTGGAATATTTTGTAAATCGCGGAAAAAAAATATTAATTTTAATAATATGGTAAGTGGAAAAATATATTTTGAATATTTATAATTTTTTTTTTTTATCATTTTTATAAAAAGGTTAGTGTTATAGTACCTACCTATTATAAGTTACCGTTCACTAAACATAATAGATAACCATGTAGCGTGATTTTTAAGTTTTTAAAAGTTTTTTTTTTTTTTTTAATTTTTTTAATTTTTTTTAGATAATATACAATCTGTTCCTAGGAACAATAAGAATATGTGATAAATGAGTAAATAAAAAAACATGATGAAATGAAGAGAGGAGTCACCCAGTGGTAACACTACCCTAACTTGATGGTTTTTTTTTCCTTATTTATATTGCTTAATTTTATCAAACAGTGAGGAGGTCTCGACACCATTTCCTTTTGAGCCTTCTGGGAGGATTCCCAGGAATAGTGAGAGTGGCAAGGTTCGAAATGAGAGGGTTGGAATGAGAAGGGAGTCTAGAGTGGAATCGTTTGTAAAAGACTACTGCTTCTTCATGGATTGATTTCATTTTTAGATCGGTGTGTAAAGTTAGATTTGAGATGTAAGGGGGAGAATTAGTAATTAAGCGAAGGAATTTATTTTGGAAAGTTTGAATTTTATTAGTGTTGGATATTTTGGCATTGCCCCAGAGTTGAAGACCATAGGTCCACATCGGCTTGAACAGGGATTTGTAAATTAAGAGTTTAGTATTTAATGGAGTGTGTTTGTTGTTAGAGATTAGGGTTTTAAGGATGCGGAGTCGTGCATTTAAGGCAAGCGTTTTAGTTTTTATGTGATGTGACCAAGTGAGACGACGATCAATTGACAGAGTATTTGGCGGTTTGAGAGGAAGGGATTTGAATATTGTCTAAAGATACCATAGGAAAGGGAGTACGAAGAAGAGTAAATGTTTTATGGAGTGATTTGGATTGATTAACTTTGATACGCTATTTTTTATACCAACCAGCCATGAGGTCAAGGTGGAGTTGAAGATTGTGGGAAGCTGTGTAAGGATTATTATGGATAGAAATAATAGCCTTGTCATCGGCAAACTCCGCAACAGCTGTATTCGGAGAGGTGGGTTGATCGGCAGCGTAGATATTATATAATAGAGGAGAAAGAATGCCCCCCTGAGGAACGCCTGCGCTAATCTTTGCTAAACCAGAAAGGGATGTGCCAACTCTGACCTGAAAATATCGATCCGCGAGGTAAGATTTGATTAGTAAGTAAAAGAAAGGATGAACTATGGGTTTAATTTATATAGCAGACCTTCATGCCATACCCTGTCGAATGCTTGGGAAATGTCTAAGAAAACGCAGGAGCAATAACTTTTTTTTTCAAGGGAGAAGGAAATAGCATCGACTAGTCTGTGCAGCTGATGTATTAAGGAATGAGCGGTACGAAAACCAAATTGTGTATTAGGTAATATGGAATTGGAAGAGATGCATGGAAGAATTCTTTTAAGAATTAATCTTTCGAGAATTTTGCTGAAGAAGGGGAGGAGACTTATAGGTCGGTAGGAGGAGGACAAGTCGGGAGGCTCGTTAGGTTTTGGAACTAGAATCGTTACAGAAAATTTCCAAAGCATAGGAAAATAAGATAACCTTAGACACGCATTATATATAACTGTGAGAAGTACAATGGCTCTTTTGGGGAGGAATCTGGCCACTTCTGCAGTAATCAGGTCGAACCCCGGAGATTTTTTAAGACTGTATTTTTGAGTTGTAAATTTGACTTCACCAGGAGTGAAATGCTTAACTGCGGGAAAAGTAGAAAGGGGGGAAACGAGTGAGCGATTTACTATGTCAGTATGAGAAGGTATTTGTATATCCGAGTGAGGCATGAAGGTTTCAGTTAGATGTTCTTTAAACAGCTCAGCTTTTTCAGCATCGGTAGTTNGTTGCAAGTCCACCATGAGGATTTATTATGGGAACGAGCGGAAGTTTGTATTTTAGAAGAATTTTGGTAGTTGACCAGAGATTGCCATTTTTAGGTGACAAGTTTGAGAGATGATTTTCAAAAGATTGATTTTTATTCTTGATGAGTATTTTGTTCAGTGAGTTAGGTAGATTGTTATAAATACGTTTGTGGGATGGAAGGCGTGAGCGTTGGTATTGGGCCCTTGCTCTACGGTTAATGGATATAAGGATGCGAATATATTCCGGGACTGACGACGCAACATTTGAATAATGAGTTTTGGTAGGACCGGAAGCCCAAGCTGCAGATTGGATTACATTTGTTAGGTTATTTATCGCTACATCAATTTCTTGGGGAGATTTGAGACTAATTTTGAGGTTTATTAGTAATTTGAACTCATCACTTATTTATATCTGATACAGGAGGAGGGATTATGTTGTTTGGGTGGGTACCAGAGGTAGCTTGCGCGTAGGTTTGAGACGAGTCAGATGAATGTGCTAAGGGTGTTACCACAGGTTGACTAACCTGTACACTTTTTTTATGACTAAGATTCCCCAGCAAAGGACTGCTCATTTTTGGTTTGTTGCGAAGCTGTTGCTCCTTGTAAACTGAGCAACCTTTATAGTTTGAAGGATGATCACCGGAGCAGAGGGCGCATTTAGGAGTAGCATCCCGTGGGTTTGTACAGGCCGAAGAAGAGTGGAGAGCACCGCAGCGGACATAGCGAGCTGGATACCCGCAATACGATTTGGTATGACCATAATCCTGGCAATTGATACACTGGCTTATTGTTTTTAATTTGTATGGTTCTTCCACTTTAATTTTGGTATGGATAAGAGATTTAAGCTTATGAATATCGTTGGACTGACTTGTTGGTTCGAAGTCCACGAAAAATAGCGGAAGAGGGTGTTTATCGATTTTGTGTAATACGCTAGTTACTTGACGTACTTCAAATAAGCGCAACTCGAGCTCCGATTTGAAAAGTTCCGTGGACGTGGATGGATGGAGATTTCGGATGACTACCCGCATTGGATTGTCTTCCTTTAGCTGATATGTGTGATATTCCGCTTTTTGTTTCTTGAGGAAATGGATCAGCGTTCTATAGGAAGCTGGGTTGGTCGTCATAATTTTTAGGTGGTTAGCTGAGGATTTACAGGAGAAATTGTCTACTCCAATTAGCTCGATGAGTTCTGAGCAGAGATCGGTAAAACAGATTACACCTTTTACAAATATTGGTGGGGGAAGAGTTGATTTGACTCCGGTGAGAGCGGTTAGCCGTACAAAATAATTTTTTGTTGCTTTTTGTTTTTGGCGACTTTTTTTCAGAAGAGGAGGAGGAGAGGTTCCTTTTACTTGAATTTTTATTTTTTGCCGATGCCAGGGTCCAGTTCTCTGAAGAACCATCCATGGTAACTATGTTTAGGCGAGCAGGCTGTAGATGATCGCTTGTTTCGGCGACGGCTGAATTTATGTGTTTATTTTTGGATGTACGTTTACGCATAAGTTATAATTTCGATAAGCTAAAGACACTACCGCCGCAGGGGCGTGCGATAAGACAGCACGCGGGTTGAAGAAGGTATAATGAATACTAGGAAAGCAACGACGAGATTATTAAGTATTTGTTAATTATAGCAACTATAATAAGTAGAGAAATTAAATAATGATTTCCATTACGTAGTCAGTTATTTAAACACCGAAGTTTTAAGTATAATTTAATTGATACATAAGACCAAGATACAGAATAAAATAACGGACACAGACGGATCGCAAACAGTGTGCGCGACGGCTGCCGAACGCGAACTTTTTTAAAAGTTAAATTTCCTTTATTGTTATATATATTAGAACGTTCCTTATTTTTGATTTTATTTATTTATTTCGTATGGCTTTTAACACAAATGTAAAAATAGAACTATAATAAGTCAAAAATCATAAATAACAATAAAGGTGAGGCGTTCTTGCGATGTGGGTTCATGAACAGATGTCGAGGTCCGTAATTCAGGTAATTGCTTCGGGTGTCACTGCATGCAGGCTTTCAAAACCTTGGTTGAATTTTCTATCTTGGCAATCAAAGACTATATGATTTATTGTTTGTTCCCCGTTTCCGCATTATTAGGGTCACATAGTAGCTTCATATTTGGTGCTGTATAGCTTGCCCATTCTTTTCGCCATTCCTCGGCGCTATCAAACCCTAAATTTATCAGTGTTCTGGCGTACACAACAGGTGGGCTCCTGGATTTAATCGTTGATTGGGTGTTTGAAACATCATCTGGTATAAAAGTGAATTCTTGTAATCTACAGATTTCTTAATGGTTTTTACAAGTGCATCTTTCCTACGAATGTGTGGTGGTTTAATATTCGCCAGTGCCGGTAGCCATTGCAGTGGTGTAGATTTAACTGGCCCGCTTATTACTCTCATTACGCTATTGAGTTGCGTGTCTATTTTGCGTACATGTGTGCTATTACACCAAACTTGGGACCCATACTCTGCTGTACTATAAACTAGGCTTAATGCTGCTACCCGTAATGTCTTAGCATCGGCACCCCAGCCTGTTCCAGCAAGCATTTGTACCAGGTTAACCCGGGACCTGATCTTTTTACTGAGGGTACTTAAATACTCATTAAATGTAAGCGAGCGGTCTAGCGCTATACCCAAATATTTAAACATATAATTATGCTTTACACTTATACCGTCAAATTCAACCTCAAGTTTATCATGAGCTTGTCTGTTGTTTAGGTGAAATGCACAAACCTCTGTTTTACTAGGGCTTTAGGCGCCAATTGCGGAAGTATGTTTTCATTAACTCTAGGTCTTTGGTTAAGNGAACGCTATTGCTATGTCATCCGCAAATTGGAACTTAAGCCCTTCTGTCACTGGGATATCGTACATGTAAAGGTTGAACAATGTTGGGGCAAGGACTTAACCTTGAGGTAGCCTATTATTCACTGTCTTCCACCTGCTCCCTTTATTACCTAAGTAAACTTGGAAACGTTGATTTGCAAGGATTCCTTCCAGGAACCCCATTAAGTTGAAATTGATAACCTTACTAAACTTGTACAGTAATCCATGTCTCCAGACCGTGTTATACGCAGCAGAGAGGTCAATGGAGGCTACGCTGGTTTTTAACTTCTTCTGAAAGCCGGCTTCAATTAGTGTTGTTCAAGCGAGGACCTGTTCTTCGCAACTTCTGTTGTTTCTGTAGCCCGCTTGCTCTACCGAAATAATCTCGTCAATATGAGGCTGTATTCTCTCCAGGATGAGCCTCCAAGATCTTGTATGGGATGTTTAGCAACGAGATTGGGCGGTAGTCTGCAGCCTCGGTTTCAGATTTTCCCGGTTTTAGAAGTGCGATAACTTTAGCCCTTTTGAACTGTTTTGGAATGTTTGTTGTGTCTAGTATGTTACTATAGAATCTAGCTAGCCACTCCCGTACTCTGGGATCAGCGTGTTTAATGAATTCGGGGTATATCCCATCAAGTCCAGCTGCCTTATTTAATTTGGTTTTACTTAAGGCTTTATTAACCTCATCGAGCGTGAAGGGTGCAACAAACATTGTACGTTGTTGTAGTTTTTTTCTTTTGACGTCTGAGCTCTGCTTTTATGGTCCTACTGTGAACCTTGCATGATTGCGTTTTGCCCATCTCTATAATTCTCGATTCCACCTTATTTGCACTCAGAATTTCTTGTTTCTTCTTGCTATGGCTGTGGTCTCCTAGTCTCTTCATCAAGCCCCACGCTTTATGACTCGAGTGAGTAAAGTCTAATTCCGCAGTAGTTTCACTCCATCTCTGTTTCCTTATAGCATTTAGTCTACCAATGAGATCATCTGCTATTGTGCTGTTATTATTTTTCTAAAAGTCTTCAAATAATTTTGTACAGTCTTCATCCCAGCCAGATATGAAATGTTTCCTAAAGCCCCTAGGGATGTGTTTACTCGCTACCGATTTGATAGCTCCCACAAATCGATCGTAAGAGCTAGCTTTAGGCGGGATCCAAGAGATTATATGGTCTAATTCGTTTCCATAATCAACCCAGTTAACCTTCCTAAAATTCCAACGTGGTTTAGGTAAGGATCGTATCAATGGGATCTGTAGTCCGTAGTTTAGCAATATCGGACGGTGCTGACTATGTGGGAAATTTCCCAGGATGTGTCTCGTTACCATAGTGTTGTCGCTTAAGGAGGTCCTAGAAGCTATGCTTAAGTCCGGAGTATAGTCTTTTAACCACCTTGCTGACCGGAAAGTACCCTTTGGCTACTTTCCTTACTTTTACTATCTTTGGCGTTATATATGAGTTTCATGTTGCGTAGGGCCATCCATTCCTGAAGTTTGTTTCCATTAGCATCATTTTCATCATACCCCCATTCCAGACTGTGACTGTTAAAATCTCCTACGTATAAGGCAGGATGATCGAATGTTTTAATTGTAGGGGACTTCTATTGGGTGTTAGGTGAGAAATGTTACCTACTGTACCTATTAACATAGGTACATGTGTACTTCTTGAAGAGGTCATTGTCATGCCCAAACCCGTATAAGTGTATTTCTAAACATTTAGAACAATATTTTTAAATTTCAAGAATTACAATAGTTACATACTGTACCGATTTATATTGGTACATGTTTCCTATTTGTTTAAAGAAAGAGAATGACCTAGAAGTTTTCTAAAATAATTTTAAATTTTTACTCTTAACAAATTAGTATATAAGTAAAGGTTACCTACTGTACCTATTTAAATTGGTACATGTGTATATATTTGCCCCATAAAAGCGCGATTCAAGAAATGTTACCTACTGTACCTATTAACATAGGTACATGTGTACATATTTGTGGGATAAAACCGCAATCAAGAAATGTTACCTACTGTACCTATTAACATAGGTACATGTGTACATATTTGCGGGATAAAACCGCGATTCAAGAAATGTTACCTACTGTACCTATTAACATAGGTACATGTGTACTTCTTGAAGAGGTTTTTTTTAGCCCAATAAATTTAAGTAAATTTCTAAACATTTGGAACAATATTTTAAAATTTTAATGGATCACAATAGTTACCTACTGTACCAATTTATATTGGTACATGTGTACTATTAAAATGATCAACGAAATGAAAAGGAATTCTTCTTTCATATTTTAAAAATGTTTAAAATTTTTTAAATAAGTGGATATGATAATGTTACCTACTGTACCTATTAACATAGGTACATGTGTACTTCTTGAAGAGGTTTTTTTTAGCCCAATAAATTTAAGTAAATTTCTAAACATTTGGAACAATATTTTAAAATTTTAATGGATCACAATAGTTACCTACTGTACCAATTTATATTGGTACATGTGTACTATTAAAATGATCAACGAAATGAAAAGGAATTCTTCTTTCATATTTTAAAAATGTTTAAAATTTTTGAATAAGTGGATATGATAATGTTACCTACTGTACCTATTTAAATTGGTACATGTGTACATATTTACCACATAAAAGCGTGATTCAAGAAATGTTACCTACTGTACCTATTAACATAGGTACATGTGTACATATTTGCGGGATAAAACCGCGATTCAAGAAATGTTACCTACTGTACCTATTAACATAGGTACATGTGTACTTCTTGAGGAGGTCATTGTCATGCCCAAACCCGTATAAGTGTATTTCTAAACATTTAGAACAATATTTTTAAATTTTAAGAATTACAATAGTTACCTACTGTACCTATTTAAATTGGTACATGTGTATATATTTGCCACATAAAAGCGCGATTCAAGAAATGTTACCTACTGTACCTATTAACATAGGTACAAGTGTACTTCTTGAAGAGATCGTTGTCATGTCGAACCCCTATAAATCTTATTTGTATACATTCTCACCAATATTTTTAAAATTCATTGTTCAAGTTAAGTTGCCTACTGTACCTATTAACATAGGTACATGTGTACTTCTTGAAGAGGTTTTTTTTAGCCCAATAAATTTAAGTAAATTTCTAAATATTTGGAACAATATTTTAAAATTTTAATGGATCACAATAGTTACCTACTGTACCAATTTATATTGGTACATGTGTACTATTAAAATGATCAACGATATGAAAAGGAATTCCTCTTTCATATTTTACAAATGTTTAAAATTTTTGAATAAGTGGATATGATAATGTTACCTACTGTACCTATTTAAATTGGTACATGTGTACATATTTACCACATAAAAGCGTGATTCAAGAAATGTTACCTACTGTACCTATTAACATAGGTACATGTGTACATATTTGCGGGATAAAACCGCGATTCAAGAAATGTTACCTACTGTACCTATTAACATAGGTACATGTGTACTTCTTGAAGAGGTTTTTTTTAGCCCAATAAATTTAAGTAAATTTCTAAACATTTGGAAATATATTTTAAAATTTTAATGGATCACAATAGTTACCTGGAACTCCAGCCTTTACATTATGTATTTGTGATATATCTGCTCCTATTCTGACATGAAATTTGCGATTTGCTATAAATGACAAGAGTGTATTGTTAAGGTATAAAGGTCGGTTTAGGGATTTTATTTTTAAAATAAGTCCATGGTGCCAAACCTTATCGAAGGCCTGTGATATGTCTAAAAAGGCTGTCGTAGTAAATTTTTTATTTTTGTAACCGTTTACTATGATTTCAAAGATCCATTGTAGCTGATGGGTTGTCGAATGAAATGGTTTGAAACCAAATTGATGTAGTGGTATAATTTTTAGGAACGGTTTAATTCTGTGCAGCAGAATTCTTTCAAGGAGTTTTGAGAAAGTTGGGAGTAGACTTATGGGTCTGTGACTTTTGGGTGAACTATTTTGTTTTTCTGGTTTATATATAGGGATAATGATTGCAATTTTCCATGTGTCGGGAAAATAACCTAGTCTCATGGAGGAGTTCATGAGGCTAGCTATGTATGATAGAGATTTTGACGTGAGATTTTTGAGTATTTTATTTTTTATTATATCATGACCCGGGCTTTTTTTATTAGCTAGTTTATTTATTATTATCTGTATTTCTTTAGGGGTACATGGGCTAATGTAATTGACTATTGGTTGATCTTCTATGTTTCTTTGTTAAAGGTTTACTAGATCATGATGTTTAAGTCTGACGTGTACTCGTACAATTTTAGTCCGTTTGGGTTTGTTTTTTTACAGCCCCAGATTATGTTTTTAGAATTAAGATCTCCTAGGAGTATGGTGGGGGTATTGCAGAAAAGCATTGGCAAGTCTGAGTTTTGAATTCTCTTGTTCGGTGGATTGTACTCGTATGCTGATATAATTCGTAAGTTATGTTTATCCGTTATAAGATTTATAGCTACTGTTTCCATCTGGAGTGTGGGCGGCAGTATTATTGGGTATTATTTAGGTTTTTTTTATCATTATTGCTACTCCTCCGTAAGAGTGAGTATGTTTCTATATATTCTATATATATTCTAGTCATTTCTATATATTTCGTAACCGGGTATTTTGAAGGTTTTAGAGTCTTTTAGGTGTATTTCAGTGATACTAGCAATGTCGATTTTGTGACGTGATAGAAATTCTGCTAAGGTAGACCTTTTGGATATTAGTCCATTAGCATTCCAGTTGACTAATATAATATCCTTAATATTAATTATGTTCATTTTGGGTTGTTAAAGGTTTGAATGGGTTAGTTGTCATTTTGCTCGTTATTGACGTGAAAATGTTCTGGATGATTGTCTGGACGCTTTGTAGTATGTTCACGATAAATTCTGCAATTTTCGTTTGGAGGTGACCATTCAGGAGGTCTTACAGTGTTTCATTGGTAGTTTTTGTCGTTATTTTTGATACATCGGTTTAGGTTTTTTCTGCATATAATTTTTTGTTTGGATTAATTTGTGTATTGGTTGTGTCAATTGTAGTCAGAGGTATGTTTATTGTCTGAGGCAACTTTGCAACTGTTGGTTTTATTTTTTTTTTAAATATTTTTATAGCATGTACATCCTCTGTAGTTGGCAGGGTGGAGTTCGTTGCAATTTACGCATTGGGTGGAGTTGTAGATACTTTGGGGATATTTGAGTAGTGGTGTTTTCCATCGCATTTTACACATCGTGGGTTTAAGTTGCATGATTTACTTATGTGTCCAATTCTTTGAAAATTGGTACATTGTGGTGGGACGTTGGGTTTGCGTTGTGATTCTATGGTGATTATACAGTTTAAAATTCTATTGAGTTCAAATATATTGATTGTTTCAGTATCATGCTTCAAATGAGTTATTGTCTAAAGATATATTTATTTATATCAAAATTAAATGGTACTGTGTATTACTTGTATGAACCATGGCATAAGGGAAAATTTTTTTTTAATATTTTTGAATAAGTGGATATGTTAATGTTAACTACTGTACCTATTTAAATTGGTACATGCGTAGGTTTTGACATTATCAATATACGATTCAAGTAGAGTTACCTACTGTACCGATTATCATAGGTACATGTGTACTACTTGAGAGGTATTTGTCATGCCCAAACACTTTAAAGTGAATTTCTAAACGTTTAGAACAATATTTTCAAGTTTCAAGAATTACAATAGTTACATACTGTACCGATTTATATTGGTACATGTTTCCTATTTGTTTAAAGAAAGAGAATGACCTAGAAGTTAACATAGGTACATGTGTACATATTTGCGGGATAAAACCGCGATTCAAGAAATGTTACCTACTGTACCTATTAACATAGGTACATGTGTACATATTTGTGGGATAAAACCGCAATCAAGGAATGTTACCTACTGTACCTATTAACATAGGTACAAGTGTACTTCTTGAAGAGATCGTTGTCATGTCGAACCCCTATAAACCTTATTTGTATAAATTTTCATATTTACCACATAAAAGCGCGATTCAAGAAATGTTACCTACTGTACCTATTAACATAGGTACAAGTGTACTTCTTGAAGAAATCGTTGTCATGTCGAACCCCTATAAATCCCTTTTGTATACATTTTCACCAATATTTTTAAAATTCATTGTTCAAGTTAAGTTCCCTACTGTACCTATTAACATAGGTACATGTGTACTTCTTGAAGAGGTTTTTTTTAGCCCAATAAATTTAAGTAAATTTCTAAACATTTGGAAATATATTTTAAAATTTTAATGGATCACAATAGTTACCTACTGTACCAATTTATATTGGTACATGTGTACTATTAAAATGATCAACGATATGAAAAGGAATTCCTCTTTCATATTTTACAAATGTTTAAAATTTTTGAATAAGTGGATATGATAATGTTACCTACTGTACCTATTTAAATTGGTACATGTGTACATATTTACCACATAAAAGCGTGATTCAAGAAATGTTACCTACTGTACCTATTAACATAGGTACAAGTGTACTTCTTGAAGAGATCGTTGTCATGTCGAACCCCTATAAATCTTATTTGTATACATTCTCACCAATATTTTTAAAATTCATTGTTCAAGTTAAGTTGCCTACTGTACCTATAAACATAGGTACATGTGTACTTCTTGAAGAGGTCATTGTCATGCCCAAACCCGTATAAGTGTATTTCTAAACATTTAGAACAATATTTTTAAATTTCAAGAATTACAATAGTTACATACTGTACCGATTTATATTGGTACATGTTTCCTATTTGTTTATAGAAAGAGAATGACCTTGAAGTTTTCTAAAATAATTTTAAATTTTTACTCTTAACAAATTAGTATATAAGTAAAGGTTACCTACTGTACCTATTTAAATTGGTACATGTGTATATATTTGCCCCATAAATGCGCGATTCAAGAAATATTACCTACTGTACCTATTAACATAGGTACAAGTGTACTTCTTGAAGAGATCGTTGTCATGTCGAACCCCTATAAATCTTATTTGTATACATTCTCACCAATATTTTTAAAATTCATTGTTCAAGTTAAGTTGCCTACTGTACCTATTAACATAGGTACATGTGTACATATTTGTGGGATAAAACCGCAATCAAGAAATGTTACCTTCTGTACCTATTAACATAGGTACATGTGTACATATTTGCGGGATAAAACCGCAATCAAGAAATGTTACCTACTGTACCTATTAACATAGGTACATGTGTACATATTTGCGGGATAAAACCGCGATTCAAGAAATGTTACCTACTGTACCTATTAACATAGGTACATGTGTACTTCTTGAAGAGGTTTTTTTTAGCCCAATAAATTTAAGTAAATTTCTAAACATTTGGAACAATATTTTAAAATTTTAATGGATCACAATAGTTACCTACTGTACCAATTTATATTGGTACATGTGTACTATTAAAATGATCAACGATATGAAAAGGAATTCCTCTTTCATATTTTACAAATGTTTAAAATTTTTGAATAAGTGGATATGATAATGTTACCTACTGTACCTATTTAAATTGGTACATGTGTATATATTTGCCCCATAAATGCGCGATTCAAGAAATATTACCTACTGTACCTATTAACATAGGTACATGTGTACATATTTGTGGGATAAAACCGCAATCAAGAAATGTTACCTTCTGTACCTATTAACATAGGTACATGTGTACATATTTGCGGGATAAAACCGCGATTCAAGAAATGTTACCTACTGTACCTATTAACATAGGTACATGTGTACTTCTTGAGGAGGTCGTTGTCATGCCCAACCCCGTATAAGTGTATTTCTTAACATTTAGAACAATATTTTTAAATTTTAAGAATTACAATAGTTACCTACTGTACCGATTTATATTGGTACATGTGTATTATCAAAATGTTCAACGAAATGAAAAGGAATTCTTTTATATTTTAAAATAGTTTAAAATTTTTAATAAGTTGATATGATAATGTTGCCTACTGTTCCGATTTAAATTTTTACATGTGTACATTTTGACATTATCAATATCCGATTCAAGTAAAGTTACCTACTGTACCTTTTATTATAGGTACATGTGTTTTTCTTGAAGAAATTTTTGTCATGTCGAACCCCTATAAATCTTATTTGTATACATTTTCACCAATATTTTTTAAATTCATTGTTCAAGTTAAGTTACCTACTGTACCTATTAACATAGGTACATGTGTACTTCTTGAAGAGGTTTTTTTCATGCCCAAATAATTTTAAGTAAATTTCTAAACATTTGGAACAATATTTTTAAATTTTAATGTATCACAATNTTTGCCACATAAAAGCGCGATTCAAGAAATGTTACCTACTGTACCTATTAACATAGGTACATGTGTACTTCTTGAAGAGGTTATTTTTAGCCCAATAAATTTAAGTAAATTTCTAAACATTTGGAACAATATTTTAAAATTTTAATGGATCACAATAGTTACCTACTGTACCAATTTATATTGGTACATGTGTACTATTAAAATGATCAACGAAATGAAAAGGAATTCTTCTTTCATATTTTAAAAATGTTTAAAATTTTTGAATAAGTGGATATGATAATGTTACCTACTGTACCAATTTATGTTGGTACATGTGTGCTACTTGAGTAAAAAACGAGAATGTCCGAGAAGTTTTCTAAAATAATTTTAAATTTTTACTCTTTATAAACTAGTAGATAAGTTAAGGTTACCTACTGTACCTATGTAAATTGGTATATGTGTACATATTTGCTACATAAAAGCGCTATTCAAGAAATGTTACCTACTTTACCAATTTATATGGGTGCATGTGTACATTTTAACCATATAAGTGAGCGCATCTAGAAATGTTACCTACTGTACCTATTTAAATTGGTTCATGTGTAAGTTTTGACATTATCAATACCCGATTCAAGTAAAGTTACCTACTGTACCTATTAACATAGGTACATGTGTACTTCTTGAAGGGGTTTTTGTCATGTCGGACCCTTATTAAATCTTATTTGTATACATTTTCACCGATATTTTTAAAATTCATTGTTCAAGTTAAGTTACCTACTTTACGTATCACTGAAGTATATATATACTTATTGACTGATAGTTTTTATAACTAAATTTCTTTACAATATATTTTTTGATTTTTTTACCTTCAATTTTTAAAGTTGTGGTTCATGTAAATTTACTTACTGTTGCAATTTATATTGATACATGTTTTCTACTTGAATTAACAGTGGGACAGAAACTTTTTTTTAACATTTTCAAAATGTTTATTGTTTTTAAACTAGTGGTTCTATTTAAGACTATTAATTTAATAGTAGTTTTATTGTTGCTCAATATTATTTTGTATATAATCTTTTTTTACTGTAGGTTTTTCGCTTTTTAATCTTTGTGGACTTTTGGTAAGTGAATATTTTTTATACGTTTTAACTAAATAGATTTTAATCGTGGTCAATGTGGATTAGGCCTAGTGGACAG